GTCGACCAGTCGGCGATCCTGCCCATGAGGCGCGTCCGCACGGACAAGAACGAGGCGACGAGAGGCAACTTGTCGTACGAGCAGCATCCGCTCAAGGCGAAGTCCAGGAACATCGTCCCGGGCTACAAGGACAAGCAGCTGCTCGCGGGGGAGTTGAAGACCAACGCTCCAACGCTGACGGACGTGGCCACGGCGGTGATCGTGCAGGAGGCGGCCAGCCAGGAGGGCTGGAGGCTGGAGCAAGGCGACGTCGACTCGGCGTTCTTGAACGGGAAGTACCTCGACGACTCTCGGCGCGTGTACTTTCGTGCGCCGAAAGGCGGACTGCCGGCAGTGCCCGAGTTGGGCTGGCCAGCGGTTCCCGAGGGGACGGTGCTGAAAGCGAAGAAGGGCATCTACGGGCTGAACGACGCACCACTGCTGTGGTACGAAGAGCATCGAGATACCATACTGTCCCTGCCCGGTGCATCAAGGTCGAAGCTGTGCCCGGCTCTCTTCATCTTCCACGACGAGCACGGGAAGCTGATCGGCCTGATCGGGACGCATGTGGACGACGATTTGGTAGCGGGCTCGCCCGAGTTCTTCGCTAACCAGGTGGCCAAGCTGAGGAAGATTCACTGTTACGGCAAGTGGCAGACGGCGAAGGCCGGCTTCCATCATTGCGGGCGCTTCCTCAAGCAGAACGACGATGGCACCATCACCTGCAGCCAGAAGGAGTACACCGAGAGCATCGAGAAGATACCGATCTCGAGCGAGCGTCGCAAGGACAAGGAGGCGAAGGCTACTGCTGAGGAGAGGGCGATGCTCCACAGCGGTAATGGCCAGATCCAGTGGCTGGTGCGGTCGACCCGCATGGACTTGGCATTCCGGCTGGTGGAAAGCCAGGCAAGGGCTCACGACAGCGACCTGAAGGTTCAGGACCTGCTGGATTTCAACAAGCTGGTGAGCGACGCCAAGACGGACCACGTGGACATCACCTTCCAGAAGATCAACATAGACGACGCGATCGTGGTTGCAGTTGGGGATTCTAGCCATGGCAACGTGGGCAAGACGAAGACCGCTAGCCAGGCGGGCTTGGTCATCCTGCTCGCGGACAACAAGGACGACAAGTTCCTGCGGGGGAGACCGGCCAAGGTCACACCCATGCTGTGGCGATCACACCGGATCAAGCGAGTGGTCCGCAGCACCCTCTCTGCCGAGACGATGGCGGCGCTGGAGGCGGTCGAGAGCGGGGACATGCTGAGGCAGCACCTGGTGGAGCTACACTACGGACTCGGCTACCGGACTCACATGGAGGACGTGAAGGCCATCAAGATGGTGGAGGTCACGGACTGCAAGTCGCTCTACGACCTACTCCAGAAGCGAGGGACGGTACCCTCCGAGAGGCGGCTGCTGATCGACATCGAGGCGCTCAGGAATGACTTGGAGTTCAACAACGTGGTGAGCAAGTGGGTGAACACGAAGCAGATGCTCGCCGACTGCCTCACCAAGAACGACGTGCGCGCTGGCGACTACATGAGGTACGTGCTCCAGACCGGCGAGTACCGGCTCACCGAGGACCTCATGGCCGACCAGATCATAGCCAAGCAGAGGATGGAGCTCAAGGGACGCAGGGGCGAGTACTACCGCGCGAAGTACCCCAAGAGACTGCGACCTGCCGAGCAACACTACGTTCACGAAGGCTACACCTACTTCGAGGAGTGCATCGCGGACGTTCGGTACAACGCGCGTGTGCTACAGCCTGCTCCGAAGCCATACCTCCGATGGCGTATGACACTCGGCCAGCGCGAGGACGACGTTTACTACGAGAAGCTTGAGGAGATGGTCGACTGGTCTGGCCTGGACCAGGTGTCGAAGCGCAGGAGGATCCCCACGCAGATTCGGAAGCTGCTGACGATCTATGCGCCGACCAAGGCCGCCCTCGAGCGCTACGAGAAGGACTTCACGGAGAAGCACGTGATCAAGAAGCCGAAGGTGACCGACGAGGGCGACATGCAGGACAAGCTGGATGTTACCGAGGATCTTGGTGCGATCGTGGAGTCGGCCGAGACGGTGAAGGTGGACGGCACCAACGAGGTCGCGGAGATCTACATGATGGACGCTGCGGGTGCCGAGACCGAGGAGGTCAAGTCAGGCGCCGCCGCGGCCGCGACGGTGGTTGTGTGCGCGGTGTGCCGCATGGTGGTGGATCAGTGCGAGTGTGGACCGCGAACCCGCAAGAAGGCCAACCAGCGATCATCGTGCTCAACCCATCCGGGAGAGCTACCGCCAGTACCAGGTGACGATGAGGAAGGCGGAGATGACGCCGGTGAATGGGAAAAGCTACCACACCGACTCTACCAGGAGCGGCAGAAGTCTACGACACCGACGAAGAAGGCCATGATGAAGGCACGCGCGTTGCACGAGAAGACCAAGCACGCATCCTACATGCAGATCGAGGAGGACTTCGGCGAGGTGCTGGAGGAAGGTGTCCTGGAGGCGTACGAGGTGGTCGTCAATAACTGCGACGTGTGCCGGAAGGACAAGAAGATCTACGCCTCGGTGCAACGCGGAATCAACAACAAGGAGTTCTGGATGGACGGGTCCAGCAGCAGCCACCAAGGGAAGAGCCAGGGCAAGACCGACCCCAGCTCTGATCACTGCGAGCACCCGAAGGAGAAGCTCACGACCCGAGGGAGCAACCAGTACAAGGACAAGCTGAGGTGCATGCAGTGTGGCTCACTGCTGGTGGACACCGACACCGACTGGTGGCGACAGGAGAAGGAGTATCGTGCCCAGGAGAAGCTCCTCCGTGCTGAGAAGGAGAAGCAGGTGCAAGCTGAGATGAAGGCCATCCGCTTGCGCGACATGTACAAGAAGGCCTCTGGCGAGACCAGGGCGACCTCCGCCCAGGGCACGAGCTCGACATCTCCGACGTGAGCTACCACGTGGAGAACTACCACACTGCCATTTTGGCAAGCACGGGCATCCTCGCGGTTTGCGACGACGCCTGCCTTTTGCTGTTGAACTGAGGGCTATGCCCGGCGCCCGCCTGCCGCGAGCCACGCTTAGTCAAAGAAAATAACACGAGTGTAGATTCTGTGAGATGAACAGTTTGACACGCGTGTGTGCAGCGCCGGCGCTTGGGCTCGAGCTAAAAGATAGCGGCTCCCTCCCACGGCAGTGGCATCGGGTGGGGGCGGCGATAGCGGCTGTCGGCACTATCGATCGAGTTCGAGCTGGTGACGAACCCCAGTGTCCGAGGGAGACGCCTGGGGATAAGTTCTGACGAGAACGAGGGGGCATCTTGGGCCGTCTTGAAGCTTCTTGGGCCGTGGAGCTGTTGGGACTCTCTTGGGCCGGCCTGGTGGGACCACTTGGGCCGCGTAGGGATTTCAGAAGCCCAGGAACGCGAAAATGCTAAGATCTTGGAAACGACCTCAGGAAATCATCGATCTTTGCTTCTAGAGGCCTTGGGGTGCCTCGGGGCCTCTGGGGGGCATCTGGGGGGTGTTTGGGGGTCGCCCTGGGTGGGAGAGCCCCCGAAGCCCTTTGGAAACCCCCACCTTGGACCTCTCTTGGGGCCATACTGAAGGCAGATTGGGCTGTCTTGGAGGCCTCTTGAGCCGTCTTGCTGCGATCTTGCTTTCATTCCAAGTAGACAGGGCCACACCTCGCAACAGCCAAGGGCCGAAAAGCAAGGACATCGAAGTGTCGTGACTGTGTACAACGTGAGGCATGACCCGCTCGATCCTGCGACCGGGGGCAAGAATATATGGCATTGCCCATGCTGGTGGCTCCCGTGCCAACCCAACAAAAATGTCAAAACAACTGCCGATGCATTGGTCGGAACGCATGGAAGTGCCAACGATGCGAGGCCAGCAAGGACGACGATTGCGCTCCCTCTGCGGAGTTAAACGCGCTCCAGCATCCGGGGTCAACCTTGCCAGTTGTACGAGCTGCGCCCAGCCGTGGCGACGAGACCCTCCAGAAACGCCCCCCCCCCAAAAAAAATACACAGAAAACGTCATCGCTCACAGTGCTCCTGCCTGGCAAGGCTTTGGGACGCGCACGCACAGCCCCCCACGTAGTCCTGGCTGGCCTCAGCAGGCCCTCCGAACTGGCGGCGCTGGGATGTTGAGACCACTCTGGACTTCTCGGGGAGCCTCCTGACGCCGAGTAGCTCTGTCGCGGGGACCTGTTGAGGCCAGCAGGGACTACCCGAGGGGCTGTCTGTGCGCAACCCGAAGCCTTGCCATCCCGAACCGAAGGCGTCCTCGCTCACGGTGACCCTTCGGCTGCCCGCAGGAGTGACCCCGGGTAAAAGCGAACTCTGGTGCGCGACGTTCGGAGGCCGTGGGGAGGCCAGACCCGAGCGCGCAAGACACTGCTCTTGAATCGCATCTGGTCATAGATGGGACCCCACTGGGGCCGCACCAAAGGTCACTCCAGCGAAAGGCCACTCTTACGTTGGCGGCGGCCCGAGGGTCTGAACTGGCTGGGAGCCCAGAAAATCGGTCGGGAGGGCGGGATGGCGCAAAACCAATTCAAAATCGGTCCCCAGACACCTCCAGGGGTCCGTCTGATGTAGTTTGTCACTCCAAATCCGCTTTCACGATCCCAGGGCCCGAAAACGACTCGCAAAGGAACTACTCGCAAATGACCCCGATCTGCCGCAGGGGACTTGCGATATGTTTACACGGACGAAGACATGAGTTTTGCTCGGACGTTTGCGAGCAGGTACTTTGCGAGTAGTGGAACGCACCAGGTGGCTTTCGTTCGGAAGCCGGGCAAGGGCTGCTAAATCCGTGGCTGCTAAAATCGACCTCCGGGAAGTTGTCTTCGTCCTTCCGGGAAGAAGCACGTTGACTGTTTCGCGTGCCGCGCCTTATTCCGGGAAGTTGTGTTTCCCCTCCGGGAGGGCCGTTTTAGCAGCCACAGTTTTAGCAGCCTTCGCCCAGCTTCCGATTCGTGCAGCCGAATCCTGCCTGCCGCCCAGGCCACGGGGCGACCCCGAGCGCCTGCGGCCGCACCCAGCGCTGCGCCCCAGAGGGCCGTCGGGGCGCCGTCGGCCGCGCCCGCCTCCGCCGCCCGAGGCGGCGCGACCTGTAGTGCACGAGCTCTCCCCGGGAGGGGGGGGGAACTCCTCTTCCTCCTCCTCCTCCTCCTCCTCCTCCTCCTCTCCTCCCTCCTCCTCCTCCCTCCTCCTCTCTCCTCCCTCCTCCTCATCCTCCTCGTATTCCTCCTCCTCTTCCTCCTCTCTCCTCCCTCCTCCTCCTCCTCCTCCTCCTTTCTCCTCCCGCCTCCGCCTCCGCCTCCGCCTCCGCCTCCGCCGCCTCCTCCTCCTCCTCATCATCATCATCATCCTCCTCCTTCTAATCCGCCTCCTCCTCCTCCTTCTAATCCGCCTCTGCCTCCGCCTCCTCCTCCTCCTCCTCCTCCTCCTCCTCCTCCTTCTCCTCCTCCTCCTCCTCCTCTTGGACCGCGGGGCGGCCCCGAGGGCAGGGGGTCCTCCGACTTGGAGGCGGCAGGGAAAAAGAAGTACAGCTGGAAATGTGGTCCAGAAACTGGTCATTTAAAAAATCGGTGCCAGCTTTCTGAAAGTTTCTTGAGGCACACCTTGGCCAGGTTCTGGTGTTCACGCTGGAGGGGCGAACGTGCTCAAGAAACTGGGCCAGCTTTCCAGCAACTTGGTTAAGAAACGCTGGCCCAACTTTTCGGGCGGAGGTTTATTGATCATATGCTCGACCGTAAAATAGATTACCGCCGTACGCGGCCCATCTGGTAAACAAAACAAGTAAGAGAGACACGGATCGAATCTGCAACGAATCACCAATGAGATATGATCGTCTGGCGCTGACGTGCTCTGGGCCTGGACGATACTCCGTGACAGCCACGCGTGCCTCGCAAGACTCTGGCGAGACAGGTGCCACGGGAACAGAAGACGGAAGCTCAGCTCCCTTTGGAGGCGGCCAGGTGGTCTGAACTGGGTTCGGGTAGAAGGGCGTCGTAGATGTGTAGCAAAATACGTAGAAGGCTTGTAGATCTACGAACACTCTACGCACGTTTCGTAGATTCGACGAACATGTCATTTTTGGGGCACATCAACTCTGTAGACGATCTCCTTCTCGATGGATGGACCTCGAGACAATCCGCCAGGAAGTGGAGATGAGGGCAGATCCGCTCAGAATCGGTCCCTGGAGACCCCTCCCCGAGTACATCGGGTGCAGCTTCCTACCCCAGATCCGTCTTTGGCGGTCCTGGGGCCCTAAAACGGCACCAGGAGCCAGGAAAAAAACAAGAAAGCGCGCTTCGAACCTAGAACATCTTCCCCCTTCCTGCTCGCTGGAACCAATGCTGGGCCACCTCAGACCTCCGGCTGGCTCCAACCTCCGACGACGAGCAGTAGCAGTCCCACCCTGATCACCGGATGCTGGAACTTCTGGTCGCGACCGACGAGATCGACCGCTATCGATCTTGGCTCAAAGTCCCGGCATCGGTCGCAACCGATTTGCTTCAGAATCGGCGGCGGCCGATTTAGTGTGCCGATAGGTCGCCCCCGATCGCGACCGAAGAAGTCTGGTATCCGATGATCTGGGTAGGAGGAAGATCGATGATCGAAGGTCGAGTTTCAAGGATGTGAGGTTCTTGGACCTTTTTTGGGCCAGTTATAAACCCTCAGGGGCTTCGAGGAGCCACCTGTGGCCTCTCTGGAGACATTCGGGGGCCTCTCTCGGCGGCGAACCCGGGGGGAAGTGAGAAGGGGCGGGCCTTCTCATAAGGCTCGGAAGTCCCCTGGCCTTCTGAGAAGTTTTTTAAGCCTTCCCCGAAGACACAGAATGACGAAGGAACGACACACACACACACACACTCCTACCCATAGGCCCTTAGGAAGGTCGGCGGGAGGAGGACTGGCTATGGGTATGGGTGCGGGTTGTCGGACCTCTGGGGAAACTCCCGTTCGAGCGGGGACCCCCATCCGACGCAACACGCACCCATAGCCCCGTCTGTCCCCCCCTGTGGGTATGGGCGTCTGTTGTTCGCTCATCACAGAAAACCTCTCAGAAGCCTCGAGGCCGTCTGAGAAGCCCCGCCGCCCGGCTGAGAAGGTCTTCTCCTTCTCAAGTCCCCCCTTCTCGCCCGCTGCCGACTCTCGAGAGACCTTCCAGAGGGCGTCTCCTCTGCACTTCGGGGGCCAGCCCCAGACCATGTGCACGCCGTGACTTCTGCTCCATGCCAGCGCCCCTCCGCGTCGGGCCCAGGGACAGTCCACAGGGGAGGAGACAGACGCTCCAGGGAGGGGGTCCGGAGCTCTGGGGGTCCCGCGCTGGAAAAAACACTCCGACGGCAGGACCCCACACGAGAATCTCCGTGGTGTGCATACGCGAGGCGATCGACGACTGACCGTGGTTGGGTGCCAGGATGCCAGGAAGCCACGATGCCAAGACACTGAGGTGCCAGGGTGCCAGGATACCAGTGACGCCAGTGGTGCCAGTGATGCCAGGGTGCCAAGGATGCCAGGCGGTCAAGGGGCCAGGATGACCGGATGACAGCATGGCAAGGTCCAGTTCATGCCAGGAATGCCAGGATGCCAGGATGCCAGGCGTCCAGGAGGCCAGGAGGTTTGGAATCCGTACGACCTGTGGGACTTGTGAGGCCTGCGGAGCATGTGGGACTTGTACGACTTCTTGGAGCTGTGGGACCAGTGCCACCTGTGGGGCGTATGGGGCTTGTGAGCCCTGTGAGCCCTATGGAAAGTGTACAGCCTGTGCCACACGTAAGACCTTTGAGACCTGTGAGGCCTGCAGGGCCTATGGTGCGTGTGCGACCCGTGGGGCGTGTGCGACTTGCGGCGCCTGCGGGATCTGTGACTGTCCGAACTGCGGGGCCTGTGCCTGCATGCTAGGGATGCCAGGATGCCAGGGACGCCAGGGTGCCAGGGATACCAGAGATACCAATGCCAAGATGCCAGGGATGCCTGGATGCGAACGCAAAATCCATACCGGGAGCTGAATTCCGGGAGATCGGATAGCCCGAAGTGGCCGACGTACAGGTGGCTCTGGACAATAAAAAACTGTCCTGGTAAGGAAATTCTGGGAACACGAAGAGCCCGAAATGAGCTACAGCTGGCTCGTACACTCAAAATCAGCTCCAAGAATGGAGTTCTGGCACCACGAAGAGCACGAAGATGCCTACAGCTGGCTCCGCACACTCGAGATCAGTTCCAGGAATGGAGTTCTGGAAACACGAAGGAACCCGAAGTGATCTACATTTGGTTCTGGTCACTCGAAATCAGCGCACAGGGTGCGCCGATGGCCGCCTTGGATTAGGAAATGAAGCGGGGGCTCCACAGTGAGGGGGCTTCCGCCTGAGACTTCATCCCACTTCAGTCAGCCAGGACTAGGAATAGAGTGTGACTGCAATGGGATGATGATGATGAAGATGAAAAATAAGTGTGAAAATATCGATGATGATCCGCCGGCCCCCTTGTGGGGCCACCAGGCTGTAGGACCAGGGTTTGCTGTTCCCTGCGCCAGTTCCAGCTTCCAGTTTGCACTGTTACAATTCTGCTTTATGCTGCTTACTGTTCCTTACTGTAGGCCGCGCGAGGGGGGGAGCCGAAAAGCACCCTGGTTTGCACCTCCTGGGAACGTTTTCAGAATTTCTAGGGGGGGGCGAAATTGACATCCCTCACGCAGATCGGCGGGGCCACAATCGAAAAACACATGGGCTTTGCCACATTTCTGAAATCCGGCGGCACCCCTCACGCAGATCGGCGGGGTCAGGGTCGAAAAACCTATGGGATTTGCCACATTTCTAAAATTCAGCGGCATCCCTCACCCAGATCGGTGGGGTGAGAATCCAAAAACACACGTGACTTGCCACAGTTCTTAAAAAAATCGGTGGCACCTATCACGCAGATCGCCGGCGTCAGGGTCGAAAAACCAGTAGGATTTGCCATATTTCTGAAATTTCACGGCACCCCTTCCGCAGATCGGCGGGGTCTGGGTCGAAAACACATGGGACTTGCCACATTTCTGAAATTCGGTGGCACCCATCACGCAGATCGCCGGCGTCAGGGTCGAAAAACCAACGGGATTTGCCAGATGTCTGAAATTTCGCGGCACCCCTCACGCAGATCGGCGGGGCCAGGGTCGAAAAACACATTGGATTTGCCACATTTCTGAAATTCGGTGGCACCCATCACGCAGATCGCTTGCGTCAGGGTCGAAAAACCAATAGGATTTGCCAGATGTCTTGAAATTCGGTGACCCCCCCTCACGCACATCGGCGGGGTCAGGGGACACAACGGACTTGCCACATTTCTGACATTCGGTGGCACTCCTCATGCAGATCGGCGGGGTCAGGGGCGAAAAACACATGGGATGTGCCACATGCCTTGAAATTCGGTGGCACCCCTCACGCAGATCGGTGGGGCCAGGGTAAAAAAAAACATGGGATTTGCAACATGTCAATACATCGTAGAAAAGCTTGTTGCACAGCATACTCGAGCAAGCTCGACATGCAACACCGAATTCGACCATATCATCCGAATCTCAATGTGTTTTGCCGGTTACCCATCGTCTTCGCGTGAAATCCCGACGCTGCTTCACGGCGGCGCCAATGCTTCATGGTTTCGCGCTTGCATTGCCCACTAGGGGGTCGGCGGCAGGGGGCGAAGCCCTTACGGATAATGATGATGACGCGGATGATGATGATGATGATGATGATGATGGTGGTGATGATGATGATGATGATGATGGTGATGCCGATGATGATGGCGGTGGCGGTGAAGAGGATAACGGCGATGATGATGATGATGATGATGACGTTGATGATTGTGGCAATGGCGGTGGTGATGGCGACGCAGATGGTGACGGTGATGCTGATGATGATGATGGCGACGATGGTGGCGTTCTTGATGGTGTCGGCGATGATGATGATGATGACGATGATGATGGTGATGATGATGATGGTGATGATGATTTTCCTCGGCGTCAGGACCAAACTGGAGCCAGCACAGTTTGTAAAGGAAAGAGACGGTCCGCCGCAAAGAGCCATTGTTCTCGAAATGCCCAGCTCGGGGCCACGCATCGGGGGTGCTG